GTTCATGGAGTAACAAGGAAATTAAATCTAAAGATAACCCAGTATTGCAACTTCACTGCTAAACAGTCATTTACTATTCTTTACTCTTTTAGTCATACTGCTCTTTCCTAAAAATAAGGTCCCATCAGAAGGGACAGTTACGGCCCTCCTGCACTGCAATTGATTTGTTCAGCTCCCCATCTTAATCAATTTTTGGTTCAGTAATAATAATGCTGAATTCTGATGTTCTCTATTCTAGTCTGCCCTGAGAAGTTGTCTGAATTTTGTTGTATTTTGTTTGTGCAGATTTTAGTATGCAGTATTTCCCTTCTGTCTTTGTGACCAGTACAAATATTTTAATTGTTTTATGACTTGCCTTTCTAATGTAACTCAGGTGTAGAGTTTGTCATGTTGTGAAGTGCTGACAGTCTGTGTGAAAAGGTAACTGTTGTTTTTTCAGAGTCCTCTTCCTCATATCATGGGAGTAGTATGGGAGATGATGATACCAATATGTGGTCAGGAGCAATGGATGAAGGACTTCTGAGCCAACATCTTGCAGGAAGCGATGTGGAAATAGATCCTGAAAATGAAGAACTCATTCTGAATATTAGTTCTCGACTACAAGCAGCTGTTGAAAAGCTTCTGGAAGCTATCACTGAAACTTCAAATCAGGTAGGATGATCTAATAGTGAAGTATTTTGAATTTTGTGTCTTGATTATTATTATTTATTTATTCTTCTTATGAATGTATTTTTATAAGCCTAAAACCTACAGGCTCATTTTGAAAGCTGAAACAAAACTTCAGGTGCCTACGCCCAGAAAAGTCTGCTCCAGCATGAATATGCTGATCAACTTCTATTTGTGTTAGAAATCTGCTTTGGACTGCAGAGGAAGCCGACATTTGGGCAAGCCTGTCAGTTTAGGGCAGGCTTTCATTGCTCATACGGGTCATCTGCCTTCTGCCACAGTCCAGAGATGAGACAGGAGGTGTCAGGGCACATTGAGCTGGCCCTTGTGAAGAGGGAGGTTCAAGGGGAACCATGCCCAGTTCTCTTGACACACATTTTAGTCAGTTGACTGGCCAAGAAGGTGGAGCTCTTCTGTTGTCTCTTCCAACTGCGATTTAATCATGGCCAGTTAAACACATATCCACCTTGCTATCAGAAGAGGAGTCTGCGCTCCGGCTCTTCAGTGTTTACGTGAGGTATGTGATTCATGAATAGGCTACAGAGAAGGGACAGCATATAGGTACTCCTTCCTGTTTGCTGTCGGCACACTTGCTGTGTGGAGCGCTGACGTGTTAATTGAAATGAGAGCTCTGTACCTGGCACAGTCAGTTCAAATCGTACTGCTTATATCCTGTGCTTTTAGATGGTGTACATCTCGGTCTGAAGCTATCAAAGTACATACTTGGTATTTCACTGGAACTTTTTTAGCTCTCTTGAAGAACTTGGTCTTTATATTCAGCTCTTTAGTCTATCTGAGGTGAGAATTCAAAGGATACAGCATACTTTTTGCTACAGACCCATCTATTAGTTAACCTAGTAATGATGTGACTTAAAAGGTCTTGGGCTTCCCTGTCTCTAGGTGTAGAATGTCTAAGTCCTAAGTATTTAAACTGATGGGAAAAAAAAATTGTGCTGATGAAAGTAGTATGAAATTTCAGCTGTTTAATACTTTAAAAGTTCTAAGCTTATTTGTTGCTTTTGAAAAATACTTCAAACATAAAGTTGATACTCTTTCCTGTTTTTTTCAAAAAAGAAAGACTAATCTGTGACTTGTCAAAAGTTGTTTAGATGCAGGTTCAGCAACCCTCCCCCGGCTTACTAAAGCAAAGAGTCTGGTGGATCTTGTAAGTCATTGCGTTTATTTGCAGACTTATTCTGCATTAGCTCTCTTGTGTTTGAGCCTGAGTTCAGTTAGAAAGAGATGTTTGACTTGTTGAAGTATGTTTTCAGCTTAAGGCCTAGCATCACCTAATAACCAAAAAGGATACATACATAATCCAATATATGGGAATCATTAAAAAATATGCTTGGCACTTGATAGAAACAAAGGAAAGCAACTTAGAAGTTTTACAGGAACTAAGAATTCATGCTGCTATTATAGAAGTATTGTCAATTATTTATTCCAGTTGGTGCTTCTGTTTCCTGAATGTTTCACTGCTGATTTTTAAATGCTGTAGTTTTATACATAACACTGAAATACTTTACTCTTTGAGTGATAATTATGCAGTAAGGATTTACTTTTCATGATAACAATGATATACTCAGTATATTCTAACCAGATTGTTTTTATTTATTGTCAATTACCAAGAAATTTTGTTTTCCCTTGGTAGCTTTGTAGGTAGGTGAGACCTCGCCAGTATCAGCAACACAGTTATATTTTGGCTAAAACACACGCGCGCTCACACACACACATACACGCAGACATTTTCTTTTCATGAAAGACCTCTTTAGAGGTCCCTTCCAATCCCTAACATTCTCTGAGTCTGATTTATCCCTGATGATCATACTGTTGTGGGGTTTTTTTTAAGTTAATAAAATGTTAATCTGTTTACACATTTCACCCCTCCCACAGTGCGAAGTATAAATATTGCTGTCTTCTCTGAGTTCTGTAGAGGTGCTTTGTCTGCTTTGCAGTGTTTGCTGCCTGCTTGCTGGATTATGTACGATTCCTGTATATACTTAGGGTTTGTAGGTGGCTTGCCAATTATTTTTAAACATTCAGAAACTGAATACTTTTTCTGCTCTGAAAAATTTTATGATCTAAAACTAAATACAGGCAGAAAAGTTTTTAACCTTTCTTCTTAGTTGGTTGTGTTGTGGATGCAGCCATGTATCCATTTCTTGAAATAAGCTTGAAAGAGTGAGAGAAACCTGGCAAAATCTTCAAAGTAACTATGCGAGACCTGTCTGAACACACGCTTTCAGAGCTGCAGCGCAGTTTGACCCTTTTAGGCAAGGCGTGTAGTGGGTGTATTGATTCAAATTCCACCTGCTGGTGGTATGTACGGGTAAATAAATCAGGCCACTCCCCTCAGCTCTTTCGCTCGGGAGAGACTAACAGGAAGCCTTTAAACTAGCAGAGTTTGAGAGAGTTCTTCCTGTTGAATTAACTCCAAGAGCAAGAATGAAGGCAAATAATGACCTATGTGTCTTTCTCTTTCATTTGCCATAGTGGAGACAAAAGATCGTTCTTATTTTCCATTCTGCTAGCTCGTTTGTCTGCTGCGATGTTCCTGTGCAGCTAAAAGGAAGTTATGCTTCCTTGCCTTGGAAATCACCTGCCAGCTCTTACTGGAAGATTTCTGTTGCTTTTTCATGTGAAACTTCTCTAAGAAGGACATTTAGGAGTGACTCTGCAAAGCTTTCTTGCACTGCTCTCTGTTCTGGATTAATCCGCTCCTGAATTCCTCTGCTGAGGAAGGTGATCCTCAGCTTCCTGCTGGTTCTGAGTAGGTTTGTCTCCGACCGTGCCAATATGTGTCTTGGGGCTGCTAAATGCACGTGTTCTGCTACACGTTCCTGTCAGAAATTGCTAAAGCCAGACTAGCCAGTGTGAGATACCCATGGGACAGCTGAGAAGACAACTGCAGCAATATTTTTTTGGAATGGATTCTTACCGCACCTACTGGGCATCCAGTCTCTTTAGTGGTTTGTGGACTGAGGGCCAAGAAGAAGATACGTATGAGGTTGAATCTCGTGTGCCTTTACCATATCCTTTTCCTTTCACTGAACGCTTGGATGAGAATAATTCTGTAGTTGTAAATACTTCCATTTTTCACTTCAGCCACAAACAAAATGGGCACATTTTAAAAGTTGTTTCTAAAATCTCCTTGCCTACGCCTCCCTATTCTGTAAGTATAAAAGTTTTTAAAAGAAAGTCTATTTTAAACCAACTTAAAAGGCAGAGAGTGCAGTGAAAAATCATTGAACTTATTGTGTACTGCTGGCAGGCTTTTTTCCTAGAGGGTTTTTAATAGGCACCGAGAAAGCTTTAATTATACAATTCTCTCTGTTCTTTTCCAACAAAAGAAATTTAGCAGATACGGAAATAAATTGAATTATTTAATAAATAAATAGAGAGATCTTTTTAAAACACTTCCAAGTTAGTTACTACGTTACGTTTTTCTCACTGTGAATAATGTACATTTGGAGGGTGGGGGTGCAGTCCTTTCTATCTGTCATGCACTGACGAGTAACGTGAACTAGCACAAGCTTGCATATGGCTTTCAGTGAAGAAATTTTTCTTTTGTGAAGAAATTTTTGTTCTTAAAAAATCATGTTCTTGCTTGTGCTTCTTTTTTGGTTTGCCCTCTATTATTTTTAATAATACCTTGAGTTGTTACTACTGAAAGGACCTGGAGAATAATTTTTGAGTTTTAGCTGCAGCATTTGGTACATCCAAGTAAACCATTTTTATGGTTGTCTATGCACAATAAGGCTATCAGGTGTTTCCTTTTTATTTGAGATGTGTCTTTCATTTAGCACTTCAAAATGTAAGGGTAACGTAAGAATGCCCTGTGATTTTTAAAGTTTCTTACACAGTGCAGAAATATAGCTGTAGTATTTTTATATGTTTCTTTAACTCCTGTCAGAATAAATAGTTCATGCTAATGATGTCCATCTAAAAAGGAACGCTGTAGAAAAGAAAGCATTTAAATTCAATATATTATGAAGTAGAATGTATTGATTATTCAGATATTCTTTTCAAAGTGTAATTTAGTAATAAGTGGATAAACTTTTATGCAATGTTCTATTAAATATTGCTAACCTATTTTTCAGAGATTTTAAATCAAACTAATCATACTCCTGAACTTAGCTGGAGATGGTGAGAAACTTTTTACTTTTTAAGAAATTGAGAGAAAGAATACATTTCTATAACCTGTAGCCACAGATGTTACTATCTTCCAAATGCCTGGCAATTTGCATAATATTAACCAGGAAAAAAACCAAACCACGGGGATGAGCAGGAAATATGTGTTCTTTCATTTTCTGACATTTTTTGTATTCAAAATAAGTTATTTTTAATATAAGCCCCATAAAGAACTTATGCCTGGGTCGACTTTGTCAATTTGGATGGTTTTGGGTTTTTTTTAACTTGAAGAGCTAGATGTAGGCTGTAAATGTTGAGAAGTAGAAATCTTCGTGGTAATTGATTCCAGTTTGCTGTTACCTTACATAAGCTTTTTGTGTAATCAAAACTTCTAGCATTAATGTTCCTTCCTTATTATTTTGCTTTTATAATAGTAATATTAATTATTTTTGAATTATCACTTTGGGTATGTCTAAACTGAGTAGTAAGTATACAATGTTATGCATATCAGTCCTGATTTTGCAGTAGTTTAGGATAGTGACGTAATGACAATACATACTAAACATTAACCTGTCATACAAGCAGAGAAGGGAAAAAAAATCCTTTGGTGGACACAATTGAAAGCAGCATTGCTTTACTGCCTCATTGGTTGAAAAGTGCAGTATATTCAAAATTCATGTTTTCCTGACATTCTCATTTATCTTCATCTTAAGAAGAAAAAGAGGTGAAGAACTACTTGTGTCAATTTATATTAAAATTTCTCCCAGTTTTATGCAATGTTTTTTAGCCATTCCGAGTATATGGTGGCTGATAGCATACTCGTATTTAATACAAAACTCATATGTAAATAAAGGTGAATCTAGAGTAAACTCATAAACCAGGGATTACCGGACCGAAGACACGGATTTAGCCAGGTGGCGCATTGGCTTCACTATACTGACAAAGCCTGTTTGCTTACTCTTGTGCTGAGTTCATCTGATTGTAGTGCATGAATGTGTGTTCAGTAAAGGTCTTATCAACTGTCCAATGCTCTCATCACACTGTAAAGCAACTGCTAATTAAATACTCATGATAGGATACTTATTTATCAGAAAACCTTTGGTTTCTCTATAACTTACGTCATTTTTTCTTGTGGTAGCTTGAACATGCTAAAATTACTCAGACAGAACTCATGCGAGAGTCCTTCAAAAAGCAACAAGAGGCCACAGAATTCATCAAGTATCAGGAAGAACTGCAAGAACGTCTTAATGAAGAAACCAAAGCTAGAGAGCAGTTGGCTTTGGAGCTTAGTAAAGCTGAAGGTGAGTAACTTTTTGATGAGTAGGTGAAATTTGCACCCACTCATAATTGGCTAAAGAATTGGCAAATTAGATCCATTTCTTTGCAAATTTTAGAATGCTTTCAGCCTTCCAGATAGTTATAGACAAGATGATCTCCACGGCTCCCCTCCAACGTTGATCACTCTGTGATCCTGTTTCCCAGCTTTGTCTCACTTACTGTTGTCTGGCTTATTAAACATTATAGTTTGGCTACGTGTCATTATCCTCAAAATGAATTTATTCATTATAACATTTTTGTGCAGACAGGCTTAAATATTGACCATGTAGAATCATAGAATCGTGAATAGTTGAGACTGGAAGGCACCTCTGGAGATCATCTGTTCCATCCACCTTCTCAGAGCAGGACTGAGTAAAGCAGGTTGCCCAGGGCTGTGTCCAGTAAGGTTTTGAAAGATTTGAAAGATGCAGAACCTTCACTCTTCATTTGGTGATATGGTGGTGATGTGTTTCAATTTGCACTCTGTTTGAAGTGATCTTTTAAAGTGTATTTGCAACTGTATTAAGGAAGCCATTAAAAGCTGTAGGGTGTTACGACAAGAGAATGTTCTGACGTCAGGAAAATATGTTGAAATCTGACAGACACCTCGTTTATTCTTTATAGGCAGCTTTAAATTGGATAGCTAAATGTGTTGTTTTCACCCAGAATTTCTACTTTGTAATTAGCGTCTGGAAGAGTTGCTAAAAGCACTTACCCTGTCAGCAGGATATTTGTAGTAGTAAGCAGAACAATATTTTAGTTAGTTCTGAAGCAGACTTCTCTGTTTCATAGTGGTAGCATAGAGTAAAATTTCATAGCCAAGTATTATTTCTGGAGAAATGGTACCCTGCCGGCCTTCCTGTTCTTTTTACGTAGACAGATAATCCAACATGAGTTCACACACTGTGCATAGCTGGGACATACATAACTTGAAAAGAAGCGCAGGTTTCTAAGCCATGTGTCTAAAACGTGGTGCAAGGGACAACTGGTAGCCTGTCAATTCACACAGCATGTGTGTTGTGTGTCACCAGCACCGGTACTGGCTGCAGCATTTCAACAGCTTTAGCAGAACTAGAAAGGACGAAAATTGATTTTCAGGCAGGGGGAACAAATCTAAACTTGAAAGAAGCACTCCTACTTTTTTAATTATTAAAGTAAGAGCAAAACAAATGTTTTATGGGACACATTGTAAGACACAGAAAAGGTGAAATCTTACAGCAAAATAGAGATGACCTAAGAATTTATATTCTTGCACAGGTGGAGTTACAAAACCATTCAATATTGATAAATTTCAGAACATAGTCAGTTTTTATGTCTGTTGCTGCTTTCCTAGGAGGATAACATTTTTGTCTTGACAGAATTTTTATTCACAAATCTTCAGTAATAAAGTAAAATAGACTAATACATTAGGACATAGCAGAGAGGTTAGTGTGAAGTTTTATTTAAAGGCAGGAATCCATCATAATGTCAGAGCTGTCTGCATGGGTTTAATTTAAAAAAATAGTACTTGAGACTATTCATTTAAAAAGCTTTTATTATGAACTTAATCTCTGTTGCTTTGCCTTCAAGGTCTGTATTTTTTGGCTTTGATTCTCCACAAAGAACTACAAACTTGCCATTCCATTTACAATAAATACGTTTCCATTTGTGCAGAACTCTGTTGCAAAGAGTGCGTGCATAACTGTGTTTGAAGGTGACATCCTGTAGAACAAGACAATTATCCATTTTTTATCTGCATATTTTCGTTATTGTTTTATCCTATTCACCAGACAGGCGAGCAAACAAACTAAGAGCAGCAAAGGAACTGCAAGCTCTTACTAGATGCCCAGTTTCTAGGTAACATTATTGCCCGTATGATCTGGATGAGAGAGGATGGAGTGCACCCTCAGCAAGTTTGCAGATGACACCAAGCTGGGTGGCAGTGTCGATGTGCTGGAGGGCAGAGGGGCTCTGCAGAGGGATCTGGACAGGCTGCATCACTGGGCCAAGGCCAACTCAATGACATTCAATAAGGCCAAATGCCAGGTCCCACACTTGGCCCACAACAACCCCCAGCAGCGCTACAGGCTTGGGGAGGAGTGGCTGGAGAGCTGCCCGGCAGAGGGACCTGGAGGTGTTGATGGGCAGCCGGCTGAACATGAGCCAGCAGTGGGACCCGGGGGACAAGAAGGCCAATGGCATCCGGGGCTGGCTCAGGAATGGTGGTGCCAGCAGGAGCAGGGAGGTGATCATGCCCCTGTGCTCAGCTTTGGTGAGGCTGCACCTCGAGTGCTGTGTCCAGTTCTGGGCTCCTCACTCCCAGAGGGGCACTGAGGTGCTGGAGAAGGCACAGAGTTGGGCTGCCAAGCTGGGAAAGGGTTTGGAGCACGTGTGGTAGAGGAATGGCTGAGGGAGCTGGGGCTGTTCAGCCTGGAGGAGAGGAGACTGAGGGAGAGCTCATTGCCCTCTACAGCTGCCTGAAAGGAGGCTCTAGCGTGGTGGGGCCAGTCTGTTCAGCCAAGAAACAAGTAATAGGGCAAGAGAAAGAAGCCTTAATTTGCGCCAAGGGAGGTTTAGCTTGGATACTAGGAAGAATTTCTTTGCTGTGAGAATTATCAGGTACTGGAATGAGTTGCCCAGGGCAGTGGTGGAGTCCCCTTCCCTGGAGGTGTTCAGGAGTCACGTGCTTAGGGACATGGTGTAGTCAAGGACTTGTCAGTGTTAGAATAGTGATTGGACTCGATGATCTTAAAGGTCTTCTCCAATCTGTAAACGAAGGCAGAATTTACGTGAAAAATTTTATTAAATGCTTGCAATCTTCCACTAGAGCTTGATCTGGAGATATAACAGATGAGCCAAGTATGTGGTTTTTGCTAGCAAAGAAAGTATATTAAACACAAAAATCTAGTGAGAGCTATGAAGCTGTGTTTTGCACTCTGTGGATTTTATCTGATAATGTCATACTTGGGAACAAAAACTGAAGAACATGGAAGTGCATAAAGTGGAATTTTTTTTTTTTTAATCAGGACAATGGCAATGTTAGTTTTTAAGACTTGAGAGACTGACTGTGTTGATTTGGTTCATGAACAGTTCTGGAATATAAGAGACAAAATTTGTTGTTAGTTTTAGCCCTAGACAGATACATTGCACAGCTGAGCATTTAGGTTAGGTGCAGATTTATGTCCTATGTAAAGAATTAATTCAGTTTAGTCCTTTGCAGGAATTCATCTCATTTGTCCCTCTTACTGCTTTAGTGCTTTTTAACTCCTGAATTAATTACATCTTTTTTCATCCATTTTTTGTCTGTGAACTTCTGAACTTAATGCGCTTCTAAATGACAAGCGCCTTTTTTTTTTTGTGTTGGTATAACAAAACAGAAATACTGTAGAACCCTTTTTGTTTAATTTCTTCTGCTCATCGAACTGTGTTGTGAGCATGCCCTGGCAAAGCCAAGCTGCATTCTCTTACCAGATTCCTTTGATAGGTATGCAGAAGTGTCTTAGTTCATTATGCATCTAAAGGTACTCTTGTCTTCTCTTGAGAAAAAATGTGTCATTTTTGATCATTTTTTTTCCTATCACAAAAACTGCAGCAGCTGACACTTTTTCAAACCTCTAGTGTTTTAGTGGTGTCAGGTATGACTTATCTAATGTGATAGTAAAGCTAATGCCAGTTTGTTCACACTGACAACTTGATTGCATCTTTAAGGGGAAAAAAAAAAAGGAAAAAAAGCAGGGATAAATACCATGACACGTGATCTTAGCAGATGATTTCTTCATTGGTCATACGTTTTTGGTGGGAGTGTCTGCTCCGTTTAACCTGGAAATGCTTTCTCGACTCCCTGTCTCTTAGGTACTCATTCTGAACAGCATCTGATACAGAGGGAATAACTACTAGAATTGTGTCAAATTTTTGAAATGTTGTTACTTACGTTTCTAGTTCAGTATTTTTTGTTTCAACAGCCAGTCCCTCTGTGTGGCTGTGTTCTCTGTGAAGCCAAGTCTGAAAAAAAAAGATAGGTCAGCAGTGTGTGAATGGTACGCGTGAGCACCAGACCTGTATTTCTCAGACTGTACACACAAAGGCCAGTGTTACCTAATTTCCTTTGATATGAAACGAAGTGCTCACAGAGATTTCACTTTGTCTGCATTGATAGCCAATGGAAACTTCTTTAATTTTCCTACATTCTCAAGCCAGGGTAAAATCCATTTTAATACTGACTCAAGACCATAGGTTTATACTGATAAAGTACTTTCATGTTGGAAATAGTTTGATATTCAGAAAAACTATTTGGATTCTTTGGGCTTAGTAAGAAGAAACCTGTGAGATAGGTGCGTGTGTCCAGCTGAGGAAGTTTAGATTTCTTATGACTGATGTCCTGTCTGTCTTTTGGACCCATCAGTATTCGACATGACCGACACTCCTTACCGTGGAAATCTGGGACATCTGTTTAGTAACTTCTGTCACTCAGTAAAAACGTCTTTTGTATTCTGGGGTCAGATGTTTCTGAGAAGACTGATGTGAATTCTCTGAAGGCAGTACCATAGCAGGATCTCCGTTTAGTTTGTACAGACTTCAAGGAAATTCACCGGTTTTATCCTAAGTCTTTAGCTTTGTGCTCAGTTCTGCATCAGTCCCAGGCGGTGCCGTTTCTTACAGCCATAATATCATTCATAAAGTTGAAATGGAGCTCCTGCTCAGATAGCCTGCTCCACTATGAAGCGATTTTTAAAAGCATACAAGACATGTTCTCAGGGTAGTGTCCCAAATTGTCTATTAAAAAGATAATTAATTGTCCTGTGCTGCTTGAAAAATTGTGCATTAATAGTAAAGAAATCAAATTTGTTAAATGTCAGCTGTTACAGGGCTTTTGGAGGTGATTCCGGTGGTAAACATTGACACCTACAGTCAGATTGGGTGCCTGATGATGTTGGAGGCATCTGTGTTATACTCAACCTACAGACCTTAGAGAAACTAGTTGAGGTCAGACAAATAAATGTCTTGAGGCACCTAAAATGGTGCCTGAATTGATTTGAAATTTTTCATTTCTCCTGTGTTTACTACACTTTTTTTCTGTGGCTTTGGAGTTCCTGCTTGCTTCGGAGGTCTTGTACTGAAAAAAACCCTCAAGAGCTATGTGGTCCTGTGCTTTGCTTCCTGTAATTTGTTCATCACGGAAGAACAGCAAGGACAGTAGTTGGCGGGTGCGGAGTATCTCGCATGCATGTGTATTCATGTGAGAACGCTGTAGGGAATTCACCATGCAAAAAATTCAAATTTTTCTTTATTGTTTATTAAATCTCACCCAAAACTGATGTTCTACAGGCCTCATTGATGGCTACGCAGATGAAAAAGCATTTCTGGAAAAACAACTCCAGGAAAAAATAGATGTAATTGACCATCTTGAGCAAGAACTACTGTGTACAGGTAACAGATTGCAGGAGTTAGAGGCTGAACAGCAGCAGATCCAGGAGGAAAGGGAGTTACTCTCCAGACAGAAGAACGCCATGAGAGCAGATGCGGGGCCAGTTGAGCAGCGTATGTATTCCTCACAATCTTCCTATGAGATTTTCTTAAGTAATGTTGATGAAGGGTTTCTTCCCCTCCTTTTTGTAGTCATACAGTAAAAATGCGAGAGGGCAAAATGTGGTACTTTCATACATTTTTTTTTATTCTTTAAATATCAAGAAAAGTTTTCAGAAGCGTTGCGCAATCACAGTTGTTCTTTAGGCCAGCAAAAGCATGATACATCTGAAAATCTGCTTACATTTATGTTGCCACTGAAGAGGGAATATCTTGAAGTTGGCACCTATGGTTACCAGTACTGGTCTAAATACTTTCCAGACAGTTTCATAGGGAGTAGCAAGCATGCCTTCCAGATCATGAGTGAACTACAATATATATATACTTATTTTAGACACTGAAGATATTCTTTCCTAACAAATTCCTCTTCTGGGTAAGAATGGCAAAAAAGTTGTATGCTAAGGAAAGCCTGTTATCTGCCAGTAATGAAACCTTTCAGCACTGATGGTGAAAGTTCCAGATAAATGTCATGTCAATGTAATCTAGCTAACTGCTTACCTCAAAAAAGCATTTACCTTCATGAAGTAAATGTGTCTTTTAATTCATCCATAAGCTAATAACTTCATGTTTTACGTTTTAGAGGGGAAGATTTTGGAACAGCGTTAAGAAGTACTGATCTTTCAAGGATTGCAGTGCTTACATTGTAAATAGTGGGATGAAATAGCTGTTTTATTTAATTTCTAAAAGTCTATGACAATTTATAAGGTGGTTATTTTTATACATTACACATCTTGCTGGGTATGTGCAATTTCCCGAATCCACTTCGTGTGCCAACTAAATTTTAAGATCAACCTATTGCTTCCTACTTTCTAGTACAGATCCTTGTCTTATTTAGAAACAGTTTATTTAGAAACCTAAAACATAACAAATAACTATTAAAAAGTTATTTTCATGTATAACAACCAGAGGGTAAAGAATTCTGTAAATATGTGTAGGTACTTATATCATGCACACCCAAATAACTCACCGCATTCCCTGTTATCTCAACAACTTTGACATTAAATGCCATACCTATCTTCGGCTTCATTTTTCTCTTACGTTGTTGCACCACAAGAAGACTATAGCTGGCATGTGAGTTACTTTGCTTCTTTTTTTTTGTTTTCTCTCTCTCTCTCTATTCTCCTAGGCCTAGTAGATGCTGCAGTCGATGCAGCTTCCCAAGCAGGTGTGTTTGTATGTTGCATGGCCGATCTGTAATTGGGTGGAAGACTTACACATACTGACATCGTTAATCAGGATTATTGGGCTTTTGGCTTACTGATATTACTTGCAATTCTTACTGGCCTGCAGCTTTGATGTTGTATTTCATACTCAGTTTTACATTTCACTAACATCATTTCTCATAATTTCTAAACATAATAAGCAAATTCATGAATAACCATCATCTTATTCACGTATGAATTACAGATACTGAGATGTATTGGAGGGATATTTTTGTAGCCTTTTTTCCTTTTCTTTCCAAATACTGTTGAGTCATTCATTCTGATAACTAAATACCGTATGACATTGATCTGTAATGGTTACCAGAAATGAGACTGGTTAAACATGATGTAAGATGATGGTGCCCAAAGGATCTTTCTGCTACAGTGAAAGTAAATTGTGTTGTTTCTGTCTAAATATTGATCATGTTTTAAAGTTTCTCCAAATGTAATTGCACTTTACAGTTTGGATTTTACCCTGAGGGATGTGTATGGTTAGTTACTTCTGTGGGCTGTGGCTTAAGAGTCTTAGTAGGGTGGTTTGGGGCTTTACTATATACGCTTGCCAGCTTTTTTGTGAGAACTCAAAATTTGGCTTCCATACAGTAACTGATTTTACAAAGCTCCAGTTACAGGTCAGTGATTCCCCTCTCTGTCTGCCCAGCAACCTCGCTGAGTCTTTCAGTATTTCCTTCAAATTATTTGTGTATATCACGTTCTGGGATGAAGACTGGGAGTGGATTGCTTTTTCCCTGATGCTGGGGATGAGAAGAGGGTTGGGTTTTCGGCACTTCACTGGTACCCCCTGTGCTGACTCTAGGTGTAGTTTTGAACCCATACATTTTCTTTTCTTTTCAATTTTCCAAAGACCTGTTAATTTATATGAAACTTAAACAGGGAAGTGACCTGATGCAGCTTCACTAACAGTCATCTGAAGACTAACTAAAGGACAGTAATTTTATTATGAATTTGCTTTATGGTTATCTTGATTATTTCTCCAAAGACAGTATATTTTCAAAGAAAAAAAAAAAGAAAAAAGTAGTAAAAACCCAAACCAGTTCACATCCTTCTGCAGAGTACAGCATGGATACCTTGGGGAGTGGTTTTGCTTCGTGACATTACTAAATATTCATGTCTAAAAGTGATGTGTGATGCTTTTATTGTAACCAGAATTGCTGGAGGAAACAGAAAAGCTAATGAAAGAAAAAATTGAGGTACAGCGTCAAGCTGAAAAAGAGTATGATGACCTTCAGAAGCAAGTGAAAGTCTTGGAAATAGACTTGGAAGAACAGGTCAATCGTTTCATAGAGCTAGAGCAAGAAAAAAATGCAGAATTAATGGACTTAAGGCAGCAAAACCAGGCTTTGGAGAAGCAGCTTGAGAAAACACGAAAATTTCTAGATGTAAGTATGATAAAAGGCTAGTTTCATGAAGGTGGGTGGGCACCTGTACTGAGGTTTGGTTCAGTGGGAAATGCTTTTTTTTTTTTTTACTTTAAGTAAACCTAATAAAGCACATGCTAGTAACAGTGTTATAGGTTCTATCCCGAGAATTTAGTTAATATTTTAAAAATAGAACATGCATTTGAAATGCTTGTTTGGGACTTCTCGGTATTTGTAGTTGTAACTTTCTAGGCTTCTGGAATGTTTAAAATAATGGGAAACTTCTAAAATTAATGAGGAAATGTAAGTTTTTGTGACCTTATTTTTTAACATTTTGTGGAATTCCTGTGTTTTTCACTGAAGTCTGTTAGAACTAGTCTGAAGTCTGTGCCAGGCCCCAAGTGATGAAAAAAGTTCTTCTTAATGGTGATTGCAAGAGGTCCTGCTACCTTAAAAAACCCTGATGTACTATTGCCAGCCTCACATGAATGGAAATAAGCAGTGGTAATGTACTTAATTTAGAGAGTTTTAAAATCAAATGGTGTGCCCACATGATTTCTCAACTTTCAGGAGCAAGCAATTGACCGAGAGCACGAGAGAGACGTATTCCAGCAAGAGATACAGAAGCTCGAACAACAGCTTAAGATTCCACAAAGGGTTCAGCCTGTCAACGAGCATCAAACCAGAGAGGTAACACAGTTCATTACTCAGACTAAGGAATATAAACTCAGCTGACAGCTATTAAGATATTGATTGTAATGAAGCCGTTTTATGGCGTACCTAACCTGCACCCGTTTACCTGCCAGTCTCCTTAGAGGGAAGGGGCAAGATGTTGGGGGAAAGCAGTGGAACTGTGCTTTGGCGGTTTTTTTAGGCTGTTTGGTTGTTTGGGTTTAGCGGTAAATGTATGGAGACCTCCTAACTTTGAGACAAGCTCTTTCATGCAACTTAACTGTTTTCAGAAGCCTGTGGAAACATTCAGGAGTGCTTTAGCAGTTTCATGTATTCTTACGTTGTTTTGCGGCATCCAGGTACACAGCTGAAGGAATCGAGTTGCCAGGGTTTAGCACCTGAGATGTATTAGTGCTCCCTGGGGACATCTGAACCTCCTCAGTGAAAATCTGCCTCACCTGAAACACGTTTAGTGACTATAAAAGGGCAACTCAGGGGAGTCACAGAAAACTCTTAGACCCAGCTGAATTAAGAAAAGCAGCGGCAATGCAAATGCTGTATTTTATGCAGCATTTGCCTGTTTTGTTTGATGACATATTTGTCAATTAAAATGCATTTTATTCTTTGTGGGTTTTCTTGTGTCCTGCAAGGCTGATATTTTTGCATGATTTTCTTACCTGATTTTCAGTATTAGGTTACACTGCAATTTTCAAATCAAAGTTCTTACTGAGGCACTCAGTTGCCATAATCCAATTCTTAAATATTAGCAATATTTTGTATTCTATATTATGTATTTTAGTACCATAGGCAGTAGTAGGACATAAACTTATATATGTGAGATGTAAGTTGTGGAAATATTTATTTACTTTTAATTCTCAAATTTAGATGTGTACTTCATGGTTTTTTTTAATGTAGTTTAATGCAAAGTTTTGTAACAAGTCTTACAGTGAAAATAGTCAGTGCTATTTGTTGTGGCTGTCATCAGCCTCTGTAAACAGTGAATCTTCTGGAATTAGCTGGATATGTATTAACCAACACGTACAGAGCAGTTCTGTAGCTGTTTCCTACTACTGCAAAGTGTGTGCACATTCCTCTCCTGTTGACATGTTCCACAGATGGGGGAGATTTTTTAGCATAATTAATTTTCCTGAATCCAGGATGTTCATTTTGTTACCTCTCTGTTTAGAATTTGAGGCCTGGGTAGTGTGTGAATTCTTGGTTAATATTCTCGCATTTAAAAACCCCAAAAGAACTCTCAGGAAAAAAACTTTCAAGTTCAATAGCCGAATATTGCCCCATTTTTTTATGCAGAATCTATATATAAAAATCATCCCAGTTTATATGCACATAAACATGTATGTATATACTCTTAAGCTGGCAGATATGGGTACAATGAAAGTTTAAAGCATGCTTTAAAATAAAAGGCAGCTGTAACTGGTTAAAATTCTGAGATTTGTATTAGATACTTTTAAATTAGATAATTTTTTAGTAGGTGGAAAGATAGACAATAAGATAATTTTTGCAAGCACCACAGGTGTAGCAGCTATTTTAGATCTGAGTGGTGTTGAATGTGTTACATGACAAATGACAGACACCATTTTCAATAATTAAACTTGACTTTTATCAAATGAGGCGCCTAACCTTACTACATAGTCTATTTTGACGTCACATTGTTACTTGGGGTATTTCATAAATATTGCTCACGCTTCTCTGAGATAGCTGCTCCGTTCATTCATAGCTGCACGGTTTTTGAAATGCTCTTCCGCTTTGCATAAATGATGTGAGCATTTTCTGTTGAAAACTTTGTTTCTTTTTTACTGTAGTTTCAGCTTACTCTGTCAACTTAGTCCAGGGAGGATTGTCATAAAGAGTCTGCTCTAGACTTGATTTTTCTTTTTCCATTTCTCTCTCAGGACTTTTCTGTGGTCACTTCAGACTTTGATGTTACTGATGGATGGATAACGTCAATAATACCATCCTGTCAGCTTTATGTTCTGATCCTCTTCTCTCCTATCTATTGAATTGCTTTGAGTCTTCTACCTTTTGGCTACATCGTAACTTCCTAATTGTAAATACTGAAATCAGTTTCTTGAGTGGGACAAACATTACTTTCCATGTCTCTTGCTCGATTGCTTAGTTTAACTCAGGTCCTCGTTCTGGGCATCAGGCGTAATCCCATGGCTTTGTTACACCTTTTTCTCATCTGTAATTTCCATGAATCATTTCTGAAATACTGCTGGAACTGGCATCATTCCTATCTCTACTACTTCAGTTGCTCCTTTGATACGTTGTTTCTGAGCCGCCGACATCTGAACTACTGAGATTCGGAATGCTTTATTTGGATGCTTTGTCCCCTGTAGAAAGTGAAATTATATCAGCACATGTGGTTGGTTCCATTCAACAAACCCAGCAAGAAGACAAAACTTCTGAGATTGAAGTATAGCAATTCTCTTCCATGTCAAAGACCCACTGAGTTTTAGGATATGGCTGTATGTCACTAATCAACTCCTTATTCTGCATGAATTTGTCACAGATTTTTAGAACTGTGATATTCCTCAAGGGTGCAAATAGCATCTTGGCCTTGAGGCCGAGACATTCCGTCCATAGATGTTGAAGGTATCTCTTTAGGGGCTGCATGGGGGTGTTGTGCTCCTTGCTTCGAACTGACTGGAGTCTGAAGGCTTCAGGAGGAGAAGGTGGTCAGTTCTAGAGAGCACGAAACATAAGGCTCCTTAAAAACACACTATGTTTGATGGATGTAGCACTATAGTATCCTAACTGTACATTTATTTTGCCTAAAGAGTAGAAGTTTTGTTATGAGGAGAGGGATTTTTTTTTTGGTGTCTAAAATGAATGCTGTTGCTATTGCTAGCAAACCCTTCCAGTCTAGCACGGTACATTAATCTTCTTGCCATACTGTCACCAGGTCGAACAGTTAACAAATCATCTAAAAGAAAAAACAGACAAGTGCAGTGAGCTTTTGCTCTCTAAGGAGCAACTTCAGAGAGATATACAAGAACGAAATGAAGAAATTGAGAAATTAGAATGCAGGATAAGAGAACTGGAACAAGCCTTAATCATCAGTGCAGATAACTTGCAAAAGGTACTGCTTGGTCTAAAATTATGTGTTTACTACTTATTTTCTTGAGACAAAAACAGTATATATTTTTTATTCGTTTATTATTGCTATTTTTTATATTTGAAGGTGGAGGAAAGGAAACAGTTTGGCACCATCATAGTAAAGGGAGAATTACCTCTTGAAATGCAACTGCAAGCTGAAAGAGAAGCTGTGGACAGAAAGGAAAAGGAGGTAAAATGCCTGTGAAACGCTCCATATTTCTGATGATGTTTTGAGTTGCCGGTTTTTACTTTGAGTTTAATGAGCTAAACAGTTGAAGTTTTGTAACAGTTCAGAGAGACAGCAGTCTAAATCCCTTACTAATTCTCTGGTGAGCCAGGATAATTGTTCTTATTGTCTGTGTTAATGCTTATGACTTAAAGAGTGATTCTGGAATCAAAATTCAGCCCAGTTAAGAAAAACTTTGTAGGAATTTCAACTAGGTTTTAGTGGATTTTAAAATTCTACTCAGTTTAAGGATTCAGAATGTCACTGAATACACATTCTTTTGTTTGTGCATACTAAACCAGTTTACTGTAGACATTGCACTTGAAAATGATGACATTTAATTTTTAGTATGGCTGTCTACCCCTTTTCCACCATTCGTTTTGGAAACGTAGGTCACAAACCTTGAGGAACAGCTGGAACAGTTTCGAGAGGAGCTAGAAAATAAAAATGAAGAAGTTCAGCAGTTGCACATGCAGCTAGAAATTCAGCGCAAGGAGTCCACTACACACTTGCAAGAACTTGAACAAGAGAACAAATTATTTAAGGTAATTGTGTAACAGAGAAGCTCAGAGCTTTAAGCTTCCTTCTCCCCCGAAATAAAGTATTGGAAGAAGGCAAGATGGCAAATGCTTCCTCTTTCTCAAGCATCCTACAGTTCAACTTGCAAAATATTAAAAAGCTTATATAATTACGTCTTATTCCATGCAATTTGTTTATTTTAATTCCTATACCTTAAATACTCATACAAGAAAATGCAGAAAACATTATGTACAACTGTAATGTGATTTTGGGTCGTTTTCTCTTTGTTGGGGTTTTTTTTGGTAGGATGAAATGGAAATACTGGGACTAGCTCTTCGGAAGTCTGAAGATGCCACCGTAAAGGACCATCATTTAGTGGCTGGGAGGCTCGCTCACATCATGCAGGAGAAGGAGCAGGAAATAGACCATCTTCATCAACAAATTGCAAAACTGCAACAGCAGCTTGAGTTCACAACTGACAACAAAGTACATACTTTGGAAATCTCTTTCAGAGTCCTGCTTTGTGTTGCTCGCTGTTGGTAGAAAAAACCAAACCCTCTGTCCTCCCACCAATTACATTATCTTCTATTGCTGCCTTAATTTAAAAATGCAAATGCTTCAATTGAAAATAATGCTTTAATCCAAATTGTTTTTTCGTCTTTTGTCTCGTTTATTGTGAGGGATAATTTTGTTTGCTTTTTTGTAATTATTCTGCTTATTTCTGCTTGAGTTTTTGTCTTAAATTCTTTTTCATTCCTTACTCTCCTAATATGTCTGTACCTAGTAGTGTGTAGATAGCTCAACATTAATTTTACCATTTTCCCTATTGCTTTGAGTGTTATCTTTCAGTGACACCTGCTGGATCAGACTAGATTTCATAGGGTTTTAGTGGTTGATTTTTTGTGCTACGTGATCTCATGTTGGCAGCATCTTTAATCCACCTTGAAGCATGATGGATGTGCAAAAAAAATGCTAGGTTTTATCAGAAATGGAGAGGAAGAAGGAAAGAAGCAAACTTATCTTTCTTTTATTTACTGAAATTTAACACTTGTACCCTTCTGTTCTTTTTCAATTACATGTTTTTATGATAATGAGCTTCATCATCTTCTGACTTACTTCCGTTTTATATAGACAGCAGAAACAGGCTTTCAGTCTCACATTTTTTGTAGAAAGAAAATTGGATTTTTTTAGTGGATGAATTTTGCATTCTAACCATTTTAAATGTGAAAATTTATTAGTCATAAGCTGTAACCCCAAAGAAGGTATTATTCAGTAAGGTAAGAACAGGGGGTTTGCTGCCCCTCAGTAGCTGATTGAATGTTTAGGGCGACTTTCTACTAGGGCATCCGATTCCTCTAAAATAGCGCTCTGAGCAAGCTACTCTTATGTGCAAAATTTAATTGTAATGAACCTCAGTGAATGATGACAAAACTTTGATTGGATTTAGGAAATTGGATATAGAAAAGATCATACTTTAGGAATCCAGAAGTGTTCTGCTTTATATGGTGAGCACAGTAATATGATTGCATTTCCTGCTTTGAGAAAAATGCCTGGGATTTGGGTATAATTCATCTTAATGATTGGTTCTTTTACTTTTATATGAAGTTTCATTTTCTTAATTCGTCCTCTTGCTCAGTTATATTTTCCAGGACGTTAAATAATTACTCTGCTTGCTTATGAGATCAGTGTTAAGTGTTATTAGGTTGTTCTTAGGTTAATCCCTTTCCTAGTCCCTTAGGCATCTTCATCCCACTAAGTGCTTTTCTTTTAATTGCCGTATTTGCCCTCTGTGCTTGCTTATTCTGTTATTTTATGAAGAACAGAAGATGTTACGCTGACCTGATAGCTGTCACCAGGATCACTGTTCTTTTCAATGACTTGTTCACATTTGATTTAGTGTTTTTGAGCTTTCTCTAGTTTCTGTGGATTTTAAAAAATAAATTCTTGGCTGGTAAATCAGCCCCTCTAATTTTATATAGTCACATTTATATATTTTTGCACATATTATTACAATGTCATCTTATTGGTCTATTTAACTAAATATACTGAAGTATTGAGAGATAAAGGAAAAAGGATGGCTATTTTAGTAATGAATTTAGGTGGAGATCCCCTGGTTCTCATAAACTTTACAGGAGACATCCCATTAAGAAATTCACTGAGGACATAGTTTCTTTTACAACATGTTTCAATGATTGATTAAACTGTTGCGAAGTCCAGGAATGAAATTATGAGGGAGTTTAATAGCTACCTATGATGAAGCTCTTTCCTTGTATTTTTTTTCCAGGTTATTGAAGAGCAAGATGAGCATATACGGGAGCTTGAAGCCCAGGTAGAATGTCTGAAAAGCGATCAAGAACGTGTGAAGAAAAAAAATGATGAGGAAATAGAGCAGTTGCATGATGTAATTGATAAGCTTCAGCAGGCCCTGGCAAATATTGACCAAAAAGCCCCTGCAGACATTGCTGCCTTTCAAGAAGATGCTGACAGTCTGAAACACACGCTTGAAACCGTTCTGGCAGAAAAGGAAGCTTTGCAGAAGCAAGTAGAAAAAATAAATGTAGAAGCATCTCAAACAAAGAATGAGCTTGAGCAAACTAAGTTTAAAATGGACCAGCTAAAGCAGGAAATAAGTATATTAAAAAAAGAGCATGAAAGAGTAACAGAGAAATTTAAGTGTGTGTTGATGAAAGGCAATAGGGAAAAAACAGAAGATAGGCACGCTGGGGAAACTGAAAAAGTGGAAGAAGGCTTATGTGAGAAAGTAGAGTTCCTAGATCAATCTCAGCTTAGCTCTTCAGATGAGAATACAAGAGTCGCCTTTAGCAAGATGGAGGTACAACTGCAGCAACTGCAGGCATGCATTAAAGAAAAAGATTCAGCACTGTGCCAGTCCCAGAATGAAATAAGAGACCTGAAAGAGCAAGGCAAAGCTGAAAGAGAAATGCTTAAGAAGAGGATATTAGAACTTGAAAAGACACTAGTGGAAAAAGTTGCTGCTGCTCTTGTGAGTCAGGTTCAGCTAAATGCAGTTCAAGAGCAAAGGAAATTCCTGTGGGAAATTCAAGGAGCCTCAAAATGTGTGGAGGAAGCAAGCAAGAATGTCCAGACAGAAGGTGTGAGTGATAGAACTGAAACAGAATCAAAATTATCCCTCTTAACAGAGAGGCTCAGCAAGATGGAAGACCAACTGGCAATGGTAAACTGTAACTTGGAGCTAGAAAAAGAAAATGTGAAAGTTGCCCAAAAGGAAGCTGAAGCGAAAGAAAAGAGGCTTCTAGAACTTCAGCAATTACTAGAAGAGGTTCGAGAAAAACAGAAAGAGGAGATTCAGAAATACGTTAAGCAAGAAGAAACACAGACAGATCAGGTAATTAGATGCAATTGCCTTTTGGCTTGTTTTCACTAAAATCTCTTATTTTATGTAAACAGTAACGAATGAAACACTTCTTAATGACACTAGTGATAGCAGTGGTGTGCTGTGTGGGGTAGACCATCATCTCTGTCATTTCTGGGGTTAAAAGGAGGAGAAGGTTGGTTTTTTAGGTGAACCCCACTAAAATTTTCCATTTTGCATCAAAAACACTTTGTCTTTTCATAAATGTAGGGTGATCTTGAATTTTAGACGTATGCTTTCTTATTCTTACTTTGAATTGGCATAGAGTGGAGTGAGTTTCACTTTAACACGGCATGGGAGTAAGGAAATAAAATAATAAAAATTATCTAGGAGAGGGTTCAGAATAATAAGGGAGGGATAGAAATCCGTCTGTACAAGGTTTTCTTTCAGTGGGGAAAGTTGTTTGTTTGTGTATCCTTTGAATTTGCTTTACTTTTGCATGCTTTCCTGTCTTGATTCAAGATATATTTCCTGTCAGTAGTTTTTACCAGTATACATTCGTTCTGCCTTCCATCCACCCCTGGTAATGTTGCCTCTGAATTTAAACCCTTCAGTCCAAGTTGACTGTGCTTGAGAGCCCTAACGCGGCCTTGGTTCCTGAAACTCGTCAAGTTCCGAGACATCATGGAACCCAGTGCTAGGCCAGGAAAGGTTCTAAGACCTTCCATCTAAATGCACATTGAATGAGTGTCATAAATGCCTTGTATATTTAACATCGTCAGACTTCATTTCTTACTCTCTGCTGACCTTCCTCCCTGTGCTCTCTGTGTGACGCAGCCAGTTTCTGAAAGACGACAGCCTTTTCCCCCATGCTTGTCCAGTTTGTGGGAGCTAATGTAGGAAAAGTCTTTCAGTCTTCATTTTTTGAGGCTATGTTAGTCCAGGTAACATTCATTTGTTTTCCCCTGTCGTGTGTTTATTTGTGGCTTTTTTAAGTTGGCGTGAAAGTGATCTGTGCTGTTAATACTTGATTCTTCACAAGATTCTTCACCATTTTCCATATCTTGTGTTGTTGCCATGTAGGTAGGAGCACAACTCACAGCAAGTGAAAAAGAAAATGTACTTATTAATGAACTTGAACTACAGCAACTTAAAGAAGAAGCGGCGGCTGCTAAGGAGGAGCTGAGCAGTTACAGAGAAAAGGCAGAAAAACTTCGGCAAGAACTAGTGGTAAGAACTGGATTGTTCCATGCTGTATTTAAAGCAAATCATTATATAGGACTTACTGTGCATATACATGTGCTGTAGTCTGTGGGGTTTTTAACCTTACACTGACAATGCCACTAATAAAAATGATCACTCGGTACCTGCCGTCTGTGGAGCAGAGCTGATGCAGAAGTATGTGGGTTTACAGTGCACTGCAGCACAATAGTGGATCTAGAGCGCTATTTCTTAGGAGGTAATATTCGTTGCCATGTGTCATAACTGCTTTAAGAAAGCCCTAAAGTGAGCTCTGGTGGTATGGAGGACTGTTTGGGCTTTAGAAATCATTGTTTTTTCAATTATTTGGAAGGACTGCAATTCAGATTCTCCATGTTTACAGGTAAAAGAAGCAAATCTGATGCATCTTCAGGAAGACCTGTGCAAAGTCAAAGAGAACCTACTTCAGGCAGAAGAGAAGCTTGCAAGTTACGTGAGAAGGGACAAGGAAATGACAAAAGCTGCAAGTAAAAGGGATGCAGAAATATTGTGTGATTTGTCGGCCATCGAGTCTGCTCTCAGTAGAAAAAACTCATCATCGCAAACAGACAAGACTGTGGAAATCAACAGCTGCATCCAAACTTCCCCAGTCCTTGTTAAAAACGTACAGATCCAAACGGATTTGCAAAATGCATGTTCTTCAGAAGAGATTGCAGAGATCATACGAGAATTTACTGAAAAAATTGACCAAATGCAAGAACTCCATGCTGCTGAAATCATGGACATGGAGACAAGGCATATCTCTGAATCTGAAGCATTAAAGAGAGAGAAGTTTGCTGCAGTGCAAGTATTGACTGACGAGTGTAACTCTTTAAAGGAGGTCATAGAAACTTTACAGACTAGAGAGGTATGTATCCTATTTTGTGTTCAATTCATACTTTTGCTCCTGCTACAGAATTCCCATTTAAAGTCGGTTGAATGTGAGCCACAGCGTGTTCAGTACAAAGCTGTTAAGTGTTCTAATGTTTCCATGGCCTTGGGAGAGATTGTGAACCCCTTCCTCAGCAATATAAGTTATAAGTGGCTCGGCTCTCTGACGCTGTTGCCTTGGACCTGTCCTGCTCTGTGGAGTGGTGACGAGCATGAGTCACCCTGTTGGATGCCAACTTTTTCATCTCCATTTTGATTTGATTGCAGGGGAAACCAAGCAAAGAGGCTTATATCTTTCCTGCTCCTTAAAATTAGCTCCCTTATTGTGAGTGAGCATGGGTTGATTAAAGATTTGATTTGTTATCTTTTCTAAATATAGGGAATCCCAGTTTCTGGATTAGCAGCACATTCTCCACTGTATCAAGCTAGAGATGGAGGTTCTAGTGGTAAGAAACTTTTTATAGATTTCAAACAGCCTTTTAAATTAAATCTGCTTTTCTGTTACTAAGTTTACCATTTAAAAGTCTGTGCCCTGAAAAGTAAAAACAAATACTCCCCAGATGGAAGCAGAAGCCCGTTGCAATGACAAAAGGTGCTGAGCATGCCACGTCAATTAATTTGCTATGGAAGAAGAATTACAAGAGTGGAGATAGGTTGAGTCAGGGCATCAGGTGCGAATTTTTTTCTTCCCACTATAGTTCCTGAATTGTTCTTACATATTACATTTTCTCTTCGATATAACTTCATTACCTTGTGATGGAGTTCACAGGTACGATTCCCTAGCAGTGGGAGATGATGACAGGTACTTACTTCTGAGAGCAATAAAAATTTTTAATCTCAACCTTTTCATAGGCAAAGGCTAAGCATATGAAGAGGAGATGATTTGGCAGAGGTGTTGTTTTGGGGTTTTTTTAGTTTTGTTTTGCTGTTACAGCTTTGAAACTGAAAAAGAAAAACTATATAACAGATAGTCTTCAGGCTTAGAATCAACTCTGGTGACATGCAACTGCCTGTTACAGCAACAGACAAAAATACTTCTTTGATGCCTGTTCTTCAAAGTTTCACAGTAATCCAGCTTTCATGTTTTTCTCTCCTTTTATTTTAGACTCCAGTTCAGACTGGAGTCAAGGAATGTATCTTGCTCACACCCAGGGATCTGACACAATATCTGAAGGCTTAGATGAAGGTGAAACTTCAACAGATTTACTTCCAAAAAAGATTAAGGTAAAATAGAACTGATTGTTTGTTGTTGAACAAAAGTGAGTGATGCTACCAGGAGCTAAGATTAGCTGCTGCTCGATTAGTGAAAAGAGGGCCGTTTAGATAAGTTTTAAAGTTTTAGATAAGTTTTAAAGCTATTTTACTACATTTAAAAATACTTCTGATAAATGATGTGCATTTTTGCCTGTTAAATGATTTGCATAGTTGTAGACTTGTCCTTAATTCTGATTATGAGAAATATAACTACTATTAGTTGTATTTTATTGTAGTTACTCTGTATTAATGATAATGTCATGATCATATATGACACCATTTTATAGATTCTCTTATTGCAGGTGTAGAATAATAACTACAGTATGAAAGTAAATAAAGGTGTTCATTATAAAGTACGGGTATCGTGCATTTCATCACATTAAAAAGAAAAATAAAGCAAGTCTTTTGCAACAAAGCCCTAGCTTAATAGTAATTTCAAAAAGTGCATTGCGAAGCTCTCCTGGAAGCTTCCCAGGACTTCTTTTTTACAATGTCCGTTTCCATCAGCAACCGTTTTAAAATTGGAGTATTGACTCGACAGAAGAACTTTGAGAATTTTCATTTGACACCGAGGAAAACCACACCTCTTTATACCTGCCAGACAGCAGAACATGTTAAAGAACTGGGTGACACTTCTGGCTTTGATATGTGGAAGCATAACTAACTTCCTTATGCTGATCAGTTTAGGAGTAGCATATGTATGAAATGTGATGGTGGTGGTTTTTGTTATTATTATGATGATTAAATTAGTGGTGGTGGTACTAATAATAGTAAGACTGGCATTC